ATGAATGAATACTTAAAGCGGAGCGTTAATCGTGCAATGGAAATAATTAAAAGAGAAGAATATTCGTGTTAGTAGGAAAGATTTTATTTATTACGAATTTTCTTCTATAAAATATTTTTCAGTAAAGAAGAGAAACAGTTTCATCCCCAAAAAAATTCAATTAAGAAAGTTAGGATAGTCTTGTTATTTCATAGTTAGAACATGAATGTAATAAAAGAATGTAATAAAAAATGTTATTAATAACTGGACTATGGCTATTCAATGTTCAGCATTTGATTGGCTCATCGGAATAGGGTTATCAGAGAGACTAATAACCCATTTTGACCTAATATGATAAACTAGGGGTACCTTGAGGCAAGAGCCAACGAGGCGACCCACCGTGTTGGGTTTGGAGATATTAGTTGGGTTGTCAACAAAAAAAATCGCGTCCAATAAAAAAAAAATTCCTCATATTTTTTACTACAGTTCTGACTACACAAATGGCAATCTGATTGGACCTTTGACCTTTCCTAACCAGGAAACCCCTTCTCTAACAAGGTACTCCTAGCCCTGTCTATATAGAGCGTTTTCACATGACGTCACGGCGGCCATATTGGTGTTTCAAAACAATGACATGTCGGCCATGTTTGTGTCCCAAACCAATCCTGTGGGAGTTGAACTTTTTTTCCTATGTAAAAACTGTCTTTTGTTCCAGTGAATTTGCATAGATGCTGGCCACGTGAGTGAAAACGTTCTAAGCACCCTTTATCTTTAACATGTGCTTTTAAAATGTGCCACTCCCCGGGTAGTGCCATAGTGCATTTACCATTGAATATAGCACCAGATTATGGCCTAGTTGACGGTTAGAGATGACGATTAAGAAAGCGTTTTGAGAAAAAAATTCATAGCATTATCTCGTACGCCATGATATTTCATATTTTTTAGCTGGATCATTTGCGGCGTTGTACAAATCCCAGACGAGAGAACAGAACGATACGGTGAGTCATCATAGTTGTTCATTTTGTTTGTTTGTTTGTTTGTTTTTTCATCTTAATTTATCTATTTAGTGTGTTCTGGTATGTTCCACAGGAGCGGATCCACGATTTTTTTCAAAGAAGGGGTTGTCAGGATAAGAGTTCAAGGAAACCATGGACTAACCCCTTTGAACAAATTAGTGCAAATTTTGCTTCTTTTTAAAATGGAAGTTTTTATAGCTTAAAAGGATTTGTTTCTTATCTAGAATATTACAGAATACTTTTTCTAGGTCTGTTTTGCATTAAAAAAAAACATTAATAAATCTCAGTTATTTGACCAAACCCATGGAAATTTTTTCATCTTTTGTTTTTATGAAAAATAGACCGAGAAAAAGTATTCTAAAACATTGTAGATAGAAAACACGTGTTTTTAGACTATAAAAACGTCGATTTAAAGAGGTCACAAAATTTGCATTTTTCCAAAGAGGTTAGGTCGTGGTTTTGGTAAAAAAAAAAAACGGCTAAAGTTTTTTCATGTTTTGTTTTTATGCAAAATAGACCGAGAAAAAGTATCCTGTAACATTCTACATAGAAAAAAGTATTTTTAGGCTTTAAAAACTCTGATTTAAAGAGGTTGCAAAATTTGCATGTTTCCAAAGGAGTTAGTCTATGGTTTTGGTAAAAAAACTGAAGTTTTTCCATGTTTTGTTTTTATGCAAAATAGACCGAGAAAAATTGTTCTGCAACATTCTAGATAGGAAAAAAGTCTTCTTTTGCTATAAAAACGTCGATTCAAAAAGTCGCAAAATTTTCATTTGTCCAAAGGGGTTAGTCCATAATAGACCCTTTTTCCGATACGGCGGCCATATTGAATTAATTCGATTTTAAATGATAGCCTTTCGTTTTCCCGAGAAATATACAGTGAAGGACCATATTTCTATTACTAAACTAGAAAAAGGCGATCATTATCACATCCAAACACGGCACAAGGATCTTTTGTCCCATTAGAATCTTACTCTAAGAAAACTTTAAGAAAAAATGTCCCGAAAAGCGCTCGAAAATACAAATGAAATGAGCTCATGCCCCCTGGGCATCCTATAATACTCCTTAAACTGAATTAATTCAATATGGCCGCCGTATCGGTAAAAGGTCTATTTTACAGAATGCGTTTTCATAAAAACAAAAGCTTTAAAAATTTTCATTTTTTAAACAAAACCATGGACTATTCTCTTTGGTCAATTGCAAATTTTGCTACTTTTTTTATTAAGTCGAAGTTTTTATAGCCTAAACAGATTTGTTTTCTATCTAGAATGTTACAGAATACTTTTTCTCGGTCTATTTTGCATAAAAACAAAACATTAAAAAATCGCAGTTTTATGACCAAAACCATGGAATAAAAAAGCCTCGTTTTCATATGTCGGGAAAATCCCAGACGATCGGCGATTTTACCGTTTCCCGACTATCCCAGATTTTGCCGACTACTAAAAACTCGAAATCGTAGATATCCCCGATCGTCTTGGATGGACGGGGACAAATCTGGAGAAACGGGAGCGCCTCTATTTTCCGGACGCGTCCCCTTCGACGATGGTCGGCGATCATTCCTGACAATTGTACAGTCGGGGACGTCGCCGATGGATTTCGCTCATTACCAATCCCCTAGATTGGTGGGATCCAGTCCCCCTATCACAGATAAACATGGCGTCTCTCAAGAATTTGGGATAGACTTCTGGCGATTATCCGATATATCAGCAAAATCTGGGACGGTGGGCAAAAAGTAAAATCCCCGATCGTCTGGGATTTTCCCAACATGTGAAAACCAAAATGCAAATTTTACGACCTCCTCAAATCGAGGTTTTTAAAGTGTAAAAAGACTTTTTTCTATGTAGAATGTTACAGGATACTTTTTCTGGGTGTATTTCGCGAAAAGAGAAAAGCTGAAAAAACTTCATCTTTTTTACCAAAACCATGGACTAACCCCGTTGGAAAAATGCAAATTTTGCGACCTATTTAAAGCGAGGTGTTTATAGTCGAAAAACATGTGTTATCTACACGTGTTTATCTACAATGTTTTAGAACACTTTTTCTCGGTCTATTTTTCATAAAAACAAAAGAGGAAAAAAATTTCAATTTTTTCAAACAAATTGTAGATAGAAAACAAGCGTTTTTATATTGTAAAAGCTTCGATTTGACAAATTTGAAGTTGAAGAAGGGAGACTGGGCCGAGCGTCATGGTGGAAGGCCACGCGGTGTGAAGAGCAACCTCAAGAAGGGAAAACCTCAGTTATTATGAAAGAGGCAACCAAAGCACTGAAAGACTCTAAAACGGTACAGGAGGACGAGATATAAGAACTGCGAGCGCTTCTTACAAAAAGCAAAGCTGAGCTAAAGGAGGAGAGAGATAAAGTTATAGAGCTGGAAGATTATACTCGGCACGAGGATCTAAAATTTCACAATATCCCAGAATCAGAAGAAGAAGGTGTTAACCACTTGCCGAAACAAGTTATTCTCAGCATTTTGCAAAAGGAGTTGCAAATGGACACTGCACAAATTCGATTTCACGCAGTGCATCGGATTGGCAAGCGAAAAGAAAACAAACATAGACTGATAATTGCTCGCTTCCTTTGTGGAGAAGACAGATAGCAGGTTTTTGCCAGAAGGGGATTAAAGAGAGCACAAGGTTCAAGGACGCTTACATAACCGCGGATTATGCAAAAGCTTTACAAGATGAACGAAGGAAGCTAATCAAGGCGATGTTCAAGGCAAAGTAGCAAGGTTCAGAGGCTAAAGTGGTTGGTAGATATCTGTTCATAGGAGAACTAAAGTATGATGTAAAAAATATCCCTGAAGATTTTAAATAGATCAAGGAACGTTCAATTAATATACGGTACTACTGGAGCAATACAACAACAACCTCTTTAAGTCATATTGAAGCGAATTCGAATCTTAAAATTTTAAAAAATTGTAGAAGGGTTAGTACCTCTTTAAAAATACTTCATTTGAGTATCTTAAGGGAGTATGTTTCGGCTAGGGTTTTGGTGGTTAATGTGTGTCCCTGTATTATTTTCTTTTTCCTATCTTTTAGTGTTGTATTTAAGATTTTTTGATTTTTTTTCTATTCTAAATTTCGCTTACTGTGTTTATTTATTAATTTTATTTATGCACATTCAGTATCCTTTACTTGCTTTCTAAGTATGTCTACATTCACGCCTTCGTTTGTTAAATTACACCTTCGGCGCTTTGGTTTTCAGCTATGCAGTCCCACAATTTGCATGCAGTGACATTAGTAGTTCTGTCCTTTTAAACTAACATCGCTTATTGTGAGGGGCTTAAGTAATTTCCGCAAAAGAAGAACCATCTTTCTCTGGTATCGTAAACGTAAATTAGACCTTGTTTTTTTACAAGAGACGCACTCGATCGCTGCAACAGAGAATCAATGGAGAAATGAATGGGGTGCTGAGACGATATCTTACCACGGTAGTTCTAATTCGCGAGGTGTTGCGATTTTGTTTAAAAATGGTATTGATTGCATTATTAATCATAAAATTGCAGACCCCGAGGGGCGATACATTATTTTAAAAGCTTGCATTCAAGATAAAGACTTTGTGCTGATTAATGTTTATGCGCCGAACAAAAGACCAAGTGAATTTTTTCAACAACCTACTTTCAATTTTGCAAAATGAAAATCTGGATTCTGTGGATAACATCATACTAGGAGGAGATCTAAATTGTCCACTCGATCCATTACTCGACAAAAAGGGCGGAGCAAGTACAAAAAGAAAGTCAGTTATCCCTTGTATCGACGATTTCAAAAGTAAATTAGATTTAGTGGATATCTGGAGATCTAAAAATCCTGACGCAAAAAGTTTTACATGGAGTCAAAAATCTCCGCCAGTTTTTTGTCGTCTCTATTACTGGTTGATATCTAATCATCTGCGCGATTTTGTTGAATTAAGCGAGATAATCCCGGCTGTACGCACAGATCATGATGCAATTTCGTTAGAACTCGGACAGTTAGAGAACGAATTGAAAGGGCCAGGAAACTGGAAAATGAACTGCTCACTGTTAGATGATGAAGAGTACGAAGACGATATAGCCAGGATGATTCCACTTAGGACAGCGTATGGGCAGAAAGAATTTACAGATGATCGAATAATATGGGATTGGATCAAATACAACATAAGAGCTCGTGCCATTCAATACTCTAAAAGAAAGGCAAAAGAAAGGGGAAAAAAAGAACTCGACCTTCAGGAAGAATTAAGTAAAGCAAAGAGAAAACTTGAAAATAATCCAAACGACCTTAACATAACCTATTATAACGTAGTTCAGGTGAGGTTGGAGATGTTTTACGAAGAAAAAACCAAAGGCGTAATAATAAGAGCACGTCCTAGATGGCATGAACATGGAGAGAAAAGCACAAAATATTTTTTAAACTCATAGGAAAAGGAACCAAGTTAGAAAACATATAAGAAAACTGTGCATAAATGGTAAAATCACAACGAATCCGCACTGTATACTAAAAGAACAAGAGCGTTTTTACAGAGAAATGTACAAAATCAGCATTAATAGTCCTAATATAAGAGAGAAAATATCTGATTATTCCCCAACCTTCGGAGGAGCAAAAACATTCCTGTGAAGGATTAATTTCTCCAGAAGAATGTTCTGAACTCTTGGTTAGCTTTCGGAGTAATAAATCGCCCGGAAATGATGGCATTCCCGATGAATTCTATAGAAAATTTTGGCCACTAATAAGCGAACGTTTTATCAGGTGCGCAAATGAATGCTTCTTAAAAGGGGAAATGTCATGCTCACAAAAACAGGCTGTAATTAATCTGCTTGAGAAAAGCGGAAAAGATCGTACTCTCCTCGAAAACTGGGGGCCAATATCTCTTGTTAATGTGGATACGAAAATTATGTCCAAAGTGATCGCTGCGAGGCTTAAAAAGGTGTTACCCAGTATCATTCACTACAACCAGACTGGTTATGTTAAAGATCGTTTTATTGGTGAAGCAATAAGTTCTATTTTCGATATCACTGATTTCACAGCTAAGGAAAACATCCCAGGTTTATTGCTGTTTATAGATTTTCAAAAACTTTTGATAGTGTGTAATTGGAATTTCTCATTGAGAGTCTTAAAAAGCTTAACTTTGGTCGAGACTTCCTTCAATGGGTGAAAACCTTCTATAACAACATTCAACGCCGTGTTATAAACAGTGGCGTTAGTTCTAACTTTTTTAGCGGAGCTCTCGCGCGCGAAGCGCTCCAGCGGAGCACAACGGGTAAGAAAATGAAGTAATCTACCCATCCGAGAAAATTTGGTAATCACGTGACCGTACACCGACCGACCGCCCGAGAGACCGTCCGTCTGCACCACAGGCATACCAACGTAAAATAACTCGATCAACAGGTATGGCAACCCGAATGCAACTCGAGGTTATTTTGGCGGGAAATCGCATAGCCACCGGCGTCTTGTAAAGAAAAGAGAACAAAGAGTCAATAAAGACGAAACGGAAAGCGGAAATTGTTTCTGTATCCGTGTTGTCTAAAGTATTAAGCCTAGATAAATTGTCATGTTCACAAATCTGGAATATAGAGCAAGAGAAAGTGGGCGGCAGGCCAGCGAAGCTTAACGAGAAAAAGGGCGACATCAGGGATTTAGAGCGAGAGATAAAAAACCGAAGGAGACATTTTTTTGTTGGAAGAACAACATGAAAATTTTGTAGCGGCGGTGACAAAATGAGAAATGCTAGCGGCCACCAATGCAAGGTGAAAATGAGCGGCAGTGAAAAAAAGTGAACGGGAACACGTACGACATTTCCTTCTTAAATTATTTAAAGTACTTAACACATTCGAAATTCGCTCTGGACTCAAGGTTAACTGTTCAAAAACTGAAGGTTTGCGGATTAGATCTAAGAGACATTATAAAGAAAAACCATTTGGTATTAAATGGCCGGATGAGCCAATAAAAGCTTTAGGTGTATATTTTACTTACGACCAAAAATTGCTTAAAGAAAAGAATTCTATTGAAAGACTGGACTCAATTTAAAAACTTATTAATATATGGTCCCCTAGAGGCCTGTCAATATACAGTAAGGTGAAAATAATCAAATCTTTTGTTATCCCTAAGTACATTTACGTTTGCTCGATCCTTCCAACCCCCAAGGAATTGCTAAAAGAATTGAATGAAATACTGTTTAAATTTCTCTGGAAAAGAGTAGATAAGGTAACAAGAGCTTCAGTTATAAACGAATACGAAGAGGCAGGGCTAAAAATGGGAGATCTCGAGTGCAAGGTTAAATCATTGCGATTAGCTTGGTTAAAACGTATCTTTAGTGGGATTAATGGAACATGGAAAACCTACCTACAGCACATACTGAGCTCCGTTGGGGGATTGTTCTTTTTTAACTGCAACTACAATATCTCGGATTACACAATTCCTTTTCAATTTTATCGAGAACTATTATTATGGTGGTCACAACTTCCTGAAACGTTTGCCACTGAAGAAGATTGGAAAACCATAATCTGGAATAACAAAGAAATAAAAGTAGAAAACAAGCCGGTTTATTTTTTAACATTATGATAATTCGAGAGTCATTTGCATTGAAGATCTTTTATTTAGTCTGAATACAGGCCTGGTCTGAACAGTACTGATTCTGATAATCAACTGTCTAAAAAAATATGCAAAACAAATATTTTAGAATGGGCTGGCTTACGTAGGTCCATTTCACTATTGCTAAGAAGCTATGACAGGTATCCCTCCATAAACTCACCGACATTTGTGTTGGGTGACAACATTTTTGATGTTACGAAAGGGAAATCAAAGGGTTACTACACCCTACTCATCAGAGAAAAAGCTAAACCGCCGAAAATTAATTGTTCAAAAGTTACAGAGTAACTTTCATTTTAACAGCGACCATCTGAAGCAAATATTTAAGCTGCCAGACTCTATCGTTGTCGAATTGTATGTTAAAGCCCACCAGTACAAAGTAATTACCTCAATTCTTTACACAGATACAAAGTTGTATAAACCACAGGTAGCCCAAGCTCGAAATATGAGCATCGGCGAGCATCGGCATTCAAAATATAAGGATTTGTATGGAAAAAAAACCTATCGTTTCTGTAACCCATGAAAATGAAAATATTTCAATAAAAAACAGCTTACCTTACTTAAAATGTGTGTTACGTCTCTCCTGTGTGGTCCACGGGACGATTTATGGCCGTTTTATGGGTTCTTATGTAAATGGTTTTCCCTCTATATAAAGGTAAAGGTAAACCCGCCTTTGTATAGAGGGAAAACCGTTTACATAAAAACCCATAAAACGGCCATAAATCGTCCCGTGGACCACACAGGAGAGACGTAACACACATTTTAAGTAAGATAAGCTGTTTTTTATTGAAATCCTTTCATTTTCGTAGGTTACAGAAACGATAGGTTTTTTTCCCATACAAATCTTTATATTTTGAATGCCGATGCTCGCCGATGCTCATATTTCGAGCTTGGGTTACCTGTGTATAAACTAGGTTTTGGAACAAATGATTTATGTACCTTCTGTGACAATCAACCCGAATCATTAACCCATTTGTTCTATCACTGCTCACGTTCTAAACAGTTTTGGACTGAATTTAAATTATGTTGGTGCCTTATTTCGAATCAACGAATTCGTCTCTGCTTAGAACAATGTGCCTTTTGGAATTTTGACGGAAAATGCTTGCCCTTTACTTCAATTGCTGAACTATTTTATAATTATTGGAAAACTCTATTTGTGGGACTGTAGGAGCAATTAAATCCTTCCAAACATCTATGGATTTAAGGCGAAGATCATCGCTAAATATGAAAGAGAAAAAAAAATCAGCAACAAAGAATTCTTTAAAAGAAAGTGGATACTAACACCTTATTTAAGTTAACTGTCTTAACTCCGTATTATTTAATTGCCCTGTTGTACTCTTTTCTAACTTCTTTTAGCCTTGTATTAATTTAACAATGAATTTCGCTTTACTCTGTCTACGTCTATAGTTTAAATGCTTTTTTGTAGTATTGTAAATGTAATTATCTAATGTGATTATCAATAAATATATTTTTAAAAAAAATTGAAGGCGTTTTTTCATCTTTTGTTTTTAACCATGGAAGGATGCTTCTTTGCCACAAGACCCGTTTTTGAATTGCGCTTGGCAAGAGCCGTTTTATTAACGTTTTTCTTTTGCCACATTTCCTTTTTAGAATGATGGTAATGGTAAATCCACGGAGAACGTTTTCGTTCAATTTCCAGTCCGCCCTTGACAGCTCCGTCGATTATGTCCCAGTCTTTGCTGCCCCATGTTGTTTTGTAGCGAAATTCCTTTGAAAATCTCCCAAAGTTGTCCCCGTCCTGTTTGTAAGTGGCTATTGTCCCATAGCTATAGTGGTACCAAGATCCCCTTTGTAATTTACCATTCAAAAGAAAATTCTTCCAAAACTTAAAACACCGTAATATAAACTTATCCTTCGCCGAAAGGCGATGAGTCTTCTCCGCATGAGGCAAAAATGTACCTGTCGGGTAAGACAAAGTTTACAATTAACAATTTATTTCTTTTGTTCTAAAATATGTCATTTAATTAGTTGTGTCCTTGTGTTGATCGTTATTTTTTAAGACAATAGAACAATTATTCATAAAATAAAGTGATACTTTTTGCTCATAAAAAAATGCCGTTTCTAGCATACTGAGAGGCAAATATACTGATCATTCAAGTAATGGAATCCAGGCCAGTCTGTAAAGTCCGGATTCCAGATACTGGTTTCCAGTTTTAGGGCCTGTTTACATGAAGGTGGGGTACCCCAGATAGGTGAGGTAACCCGCTTAGGTGGGGTAACCCGCCTGTCCATATAATCTCTCATTTTAATGTCATCACGTTTATATGTTAGGTGGGGTAACCCGCCCCATGTTACTTCACCTACCTGGGATCCCCCACCTTCATGTAAACAGGCTCTTAGTCAGTCAGTACTTGGATTTTGCATTCCAATCGTATTGGGATTCCGGATTCATTGAGCTGCATTATTCCACATGCAAAATTCTCCCGGATTCCGAAATCCGAATTCCCTTACATGGGGCGATACTGAGCTAGAAGTGTTTTGATTTGCTGAAAGCGAATACTTTTTTTGAAACACAGAGGAAAATTCGATTGTTGTTGAGCCGCGTCCGAGTTTTACAAATCACTGTATATTGTAGTTGAGTTCATGCTGATACTGGCCGTTTTCTTTTTCTGCGCTAAAAATGGTCTTTTTTGATTAATTATGAACGGGACCCACGGGTAATATTTACCGCACGAATTTTTCAGCCTCGACATATATGGCATATATGTTCGATCGAAAGCCTCTCTACTAAACCACCCACAGATTCGCCTTAGCGTGCGGTCATTGGCTCCTGTCCTCCGTAATTTCAGTGTCATTACTTTTCATTGTCTTGGTCCTTTCCCTTATAAAAACGTCATAAAAAAAGAGAACTCAACCAACATTCAGCCGTTTTGACCTGATGGGTGTCGAAATCTTTAAGGAGGGAGGGAATCCCCCTCACCACCAACTCTCCACCCTTCTCGCCCGTTCAAAAAATGGCCGAGCGAAGCAAAGCAAAGCGCAGCCTGGGGTGAGAAAGAAACCAAGATGGCGGCCAGTAGCGTGGGAAAGCTTCGAATGGAATCACGTACTTTTGGACTAAAAAACATGCTTCTCGATGTCCAAATACCGTACATCGTATTTTTAAGCGCATGGCTTATTTATTTGTATTTAAAAGGATGGCTTGAAAAGTCTGAATAGCTCTGGTATGTTACAAGGGAACTTTCATTTCCATTTTGGTAAGTAAAAGAAGTTTCATTTTAATCAAACAGTCAATCTGCAGCTAGTTAAAGATGCTGTTTCTTGAGCTAGGTTGACGAGGAGGGGGGGTAGTTATCAGATCTCTGGAGGTTGGTCTTTCTATCAATAATAGTGAACTTACGTAAGAGGCCGGGTCTAAAATACAGATCACTTTCCACAGGTCAAGAGTACAAGTCACTGCTCCATTGATAAACTACCAAAACCACACAGATTCCCCTTGATCTGATAGAGCATTTTGTTATAAGATTAGAGCTATGAGACACTGTTTATCTATCTGTATCATAGTGACCTGTGCTCTGACCAACAACAACAACAACAACAACAACAATGTATTTATTTAAAGAAATATAAAGTTTACTGTTTTATGTCCTGCAAATAGCTATAATGCTAATCTAGGCAGGACAAAACTTTAAATAAAGGCGTTATTAAATTACATAAGAAAAAAGAAAAGAAAAGAAATACAAATACATACAGATAGAAATGCCTTACATATAAATTCAAGTACAGGGGATTTTGTTATTTGAAAAGGACTAAAATTACAGGTGGAGGTATATACAGCATATCGGTTAACTTCACAAAATATTCTATTAAATAATTCACATTCAAATAATTATCTTCATTACCTAGAACATTAAGGAGTAGTGGTTTAATTTTTTTTTACGAAAATTAGATATGTTGAGAGTCTTGAAAGTGAAATAGAATTCCAGATAGACACACCAATTCTAATAAAAAGATTTTTTCATTTTTTCAGTTCTAGGGAATTTGACAGAAAAACATTCTTTTGCCGATAATCGCATATTATAATGATGTTTTGTATTGATTTTCACAAACTTATCGAGAAGATTTTTAGGAGCTGTCTTAGCATGAATGTCATATATTAAATAGCTTAACGGTTGAAAGAACAAAGACTGCAAAGGAAGGCAGTTTGATTCAATAAAAAAGGGATTGCATGGTCTCTGGGTTTAGAAAAATAAATCAAACGCAGTGCACGTTTTTGCAGAATAAGTATCTTATTGAGGTAGGTCTGTGGACAGTTTAATAATTTAAATAAGGAGCAATCACTGCATGATATAAATTCAAAAGAAGATGCAGTGGAATGTAATGCTTCATTTTAGCAATTATTCCAACCGATCTACTAATTTTGTGACAGATAAAGTGAATTTGATGCTTCCATGATAGTTCAGAATCAATCATTATACCCAAATATTTAACAAAGTCCTTCATCTCTAGAATTACTTGAGTATTTAAAGTTGGATTAAAAATCTTAATTTGAGGAATGAAAGGTATTCTTTTTTGGTGCGGACGAAAAATGACATAATTAGACTTTCTGACGTTGAGCGTTAGTTTGTTAGCATTAAGCCATTCACTTACTTTCTGAAGCTCATTGTTGACTGTTAGTTCAAGAGTACATAAGTTTCTTTGCATAGGTTAGACTTGTATCATCTGCGAATAGGTAAAAAGTAAATTCCTTGGAAGCTTTATGGATGTCATTAATACATAACAAAAATAACAAGGGTCCAAGTACAGAGCCTTGAGGCACTTCACATACGATTGTTTCAGTTTCAGATATGCATTTGTCTATTTCAATCGACTGTCGGCGATCTGAAAGATATGATCTAAACCAAGAATTTATAACTCTTCTTATTCCATAGTGTTCAAGTTTTGTCAAAAGAATCTCATGGTTAACAGTATCAAATGCTTTCTTAAGATCTATAAAAATTCCACATGGCTACTTTCTATTGTGCATATTAGAATGTATGGTGTTCACAAAATCAAGAATCGCGTGCTGGGTACTATGTTTATTGCAAAATCCATATTTTAAATCATAAAGAATATCATTCTTGCCTATAAACTTTATCAGTCTACGATAAATCAACGATTATAAATTGATAACAAAGAAATTGGCTGATAGTGACCTGTGGAAAAGTTATTTGTACTCTAGACCCGCCATACAGTTTCAGACAAAAATAGTTGGGACACTTTCGTCAAATGCTGTTTTTTCTCTTCTCTCCTGTCTCCTTGTATTCCCAATGTTGTTTATCGCAGTTAACTTACCAAATCTTCCACACATACATTGGGAAGGCAAGAAGACAGTAAAGTGCCCCAACAAGTTTGACCGAGACTGTATTATGAGGTAGTAGTCGTAAGCAAACACCATCAACCTAAGAGGCAATGGTGGAAGGTGGGAGGTGGCGAGGGGAATAGTCAAGGCTGTGCTGAGAGAAATATTATAGTGAGCCCCAAGAGCTCTAACCTGTGAAATCTGGGCTGCCCAGGGTTTTGTCACCCATGGGCAAATTAAAGTAAGTCCCTTTCGGCCATAGGTAATTGTTACAAGAGTACAGGCCTGGTAATAAACAATAATAGTTATTGTTTGAGGGTTATATTTTGTGATACCCAGAACAATCAAGGTAGAGGTGGACTGATAACACTTTACCAAAACCTTGATTATTGGGAATACAGTGGAACCTCTCCTTTGGGACACCTCTATTCAAGGGACACATCCATTCAGGGGGCACAAAATTTGGTCCTGGAATAATGCCCACATAATCTTTGTATCCATTATCTCTGTTGAAGGGACACCTCTATTCAGGGGAAAGGGACACATCGTCTGGGTCCCGAAACCTGGGTTTATACTCCATTCAGGGGACATGACTGACCACAAAAAGGGTTGATAACTTTTAACGCAGGGGTTGGTATAAAAAGGTTCCCCCCCCAGCTCAATCAAATTTTAAAAGAGATTTGAAACATGTCAGTGGTAAGCTGTGCGATGTGAGAATCCACTTTACTCTCATTCTTGGAAAAAATCAAACATAAAAAATAAAAATTAACTTATGCAACATCATTGTAACATGCAATTTGTATAGGTAATAGCATGATTTGTAGTGATATTTGGCATAAATACCACAAGCGATGTTTCGAAATTGTTATACGTAATTTCATGAGCAATTAGGTGAGTGAAATTTGAGACAATTTTAAAAATATCACGAGTGGTATTTATGCCAAATATCATGTACAAATCATGCTATTATTTGTTTATACTGCTAACCGCAATGGTTTTGTAATTTTCACATGTAGGTACTGGTATTTCAAATTAAGCTGAAATACCACTGCTCTAAGCCAATCAAATTGCAGAAATATCCCATGTAGTAGTATAAATGATTGTAATGCGAAAGAGTTGATAAAAATACTGAATGGCGAATCCAATGAGTCAATGAGCCGAAATCTTTACTGGTTTTCGCTTGGTTCTTAACTTGGTTCTTGGTTCTTTCCTTCTGATACATCTGTTACAAAGTACCTTAGAGTTAGTTAAATAGAATGAGTGTGTTGTGATAAGAGCGTTTCTCGACCCAGAAATGTGAACATTCGGGAAGATTTGTTCTACTACATGAATCAAACAGGGCCATTGTTTGAATGAAGCCAATGAAACATGCAATACACTTCAGTTGAATGGTTGTTTTATTTGCATCACAATAACTCTGGGAGTATACTGTACAGCAACAGAGATTTGTATTATTCTTGATATTGATAATTTCCTCTTAAAGAAAAAGCTTACTGGGACTGGAACATTGACTGACATTTCTATGGCACATAAAAATAAGTTCCACTCTCAATTCCTCTGTGTCAGCGCACCACCATAAATACTTCTTACTTCATTTCCCCACACTTAGACGGTTACCTGACATCACAAATACAATTGACAATGGCCAAAAGGTAAAAGAAATGATATGCAATGAACTGTTTACTTGGACACAAACCTTTTTTCTGGGAAAAGCCAATATTCTTCTACCGTAGCGATCGAGTCTTCCGCGACGATTGTTCAAAGCTGTGTATATGTGATACGCATTATCCTGGTGGATAGTTGCTTTTTGATTCAACTAAAGACCAACAGGAACAGGTTTTCCATAAGTATTCTTTATTTTGACCAATGTTAAAGTGCAACATATTGCAGTAGATATGATTGTTCACACAAGTGGTGGGAGAATTAAAAAACGTGTCTGCCATCTTGGCTGGGTAATCGGAAACTAATAAAAATCTTCCTAAGGACGGTTTTCTCTTTTAGGCCCCCCCCCCCCCCATGTTTAAGTGTATACTAATCACAATGATGTCAGATTTTCACAAACTGAACATCAGTTCTTGCTTAAATCTACTGTAGGTGCCTCACTTGTGTGAATTCAACATACCTGTATATTACTTGTAATGTCGCAGAGATAAGTTAGTTATTATTTTTTTTATATTGTCTTTGCTTGTTAATTATCAACCAACCCTAGCCCAAACTCTATTCAGGGGACATGCACTTGCCTCAGTCTTGAGGGTGTCCCCCAAATACAGGTTCCACTGTATCACAAAAGCAGAATCTAATAATGCTATTAATTGATAAGTACATGTAGGTGGAATACTTATGATCTTCTGGGTGAGCATAGCCCTGAATAGGACTATTGTTGACAGCGATTGACATTTTGATACCCTGTGTGGTAGTTATCTTCAAAGTCAAAGTGGATTGTATCACATCACCTGATGGTATTAAACTTTGGATATTGACCCCATAGGTCATTAAATCCGCAATTTTATGGGTCATCGGTCAGTTAAACCATGATATTCTTGGCTATGAAGACTGCAAATGTCAATAGTGTATTTGGGTCTTTTGTACAGTAACTGTTGACTACGATTCAGTGGCATTTGCTTTTAGTTAGTAATCCAGCTTTCTAAAGTGAGTTGTTGATAGTATTCTGTAAACAGAGTCCCAGTCGATTTGATGTTTTGTCTGTAAAATAATGGTGTTCATCAATGTGATTGTTGACAACACCATTTCTTATTGCGTCCAGGTGCCTACATGGCATAGAAAATAGTAGTTTTTCATAGAAATCTGATGCCAGGCACCCTGGATTTCACAGGTTCTGAGCATTGGGCTCCTTTCCATTTTTCTTAGAGCACAGCCTTTTTGTTGTACAATTTTACCCTGGATAGTCATGCATGATAAGGAGAATTTCAATCAGAATAAAAGTTCATGAAAATAATATTTAATAGATCTAATATTGATGCCTCATATATTATAGTGATTAATCCTTTGTTTTCTCTTCATAAAATTTTATTATTGAGCTGTCTGAGACATTAATAATCAAATACATTAATTTTGTTTCTTCAACAGCAAGTTCTAGGCAAAGGAACTAAATCAGCCTGAAGAACTTTAAGGATTACGGCATTGAACAAGTGCATCCAATCCATGACAGTTTAGAAAACTAAGGTAAATAATAATATCTTTAAAAAAATATTCTACCTTAAGCTTTTATCAAAGTAAAGGTGGAGATTTAGCAATGATAATTGCAACAGCAGCAAAAATGTCACATTAAATAGATGTCGCTTTTTATCAGACCTTGTTATGATTCTTACATGTAATTCCAACTCACTGAAAATGTCAAATGTAGGTGAATTTTCCTGGAACTGAATTCTTGGAGACCAAATTCAGGTGTCATTCTGTTGTGTTTATGTTACAGGTCAAAATTAAATTCAGGTTAAAATTTTTTAACCTAGGTTGATTCTCAATTTTCTCCGTCTCCTAGCCCTGATTATTCATGAATTAGGGCTAGAAGACAAAGGAAATTGAGAATCAACCTAGGTTAAAAAAAATTAACCTGAATTTAAATTTGACCTGTAACATTTACATCCTCCATGAAATGTGCTTGAGGGAATTTCACATTGCACAACTGTAGGTGTGCAGTAATTGGGAAAAAGTGTACAAAAAAAGTGTGATATGCACATGCAAAGTTGTTGTTTTGCTATGCTTTATTCACGTTTCTGTTGCTGTTGCCATTGTCATTGCTAAAGGTTTATAATGTGTCCCCACTTTCACAAACACCAAGCAAGGAAAAGTACACTGCTAGTGAAGAGCCAGTGGTCCAAATATTGCAAACATAATATTTAATGATTCTTTTTCTCATGCGTTGAAGGTTGCTTCAGGAAATAGCATTCAATAACCACTTCTCAACTAACCAATTAGAACTTTGTAAAAGACTCTTTTCACCATTGTATAGGCTGTGGTGTATTAAACTTAAGGGGTTATCTTGAAAGGATAACCTGCTAGATTCTCCTCCTACATATACAGTGTGTCAATTATCAATAACATAGCTACATTGACATTATTGAACCCTGGCTAGTAACATCTTGGAAGAAGCATTACAATCTTTGTTCAGGGCCCCCAACAGACTCAACTAATTACTGGAAGTGTATTTCAAATTTCTGTTAAACCTGATTGGCAAAGAAACATTGGCTTTTTTAACAGGCCAGTCATGGTGTGCACTGCACAGTACGGCAAAAGATCCCCGGCCAGACTGCAAATGATCCTCCACAGTAAATGATCCCCATTGTTGACTGCAAATGATCCCGACAGGAAAATAAGAATGGTTTGGACTCAAGTTACTGGATCGTCACATCTAGTTGATTATCACAACAAAAAAAAGTGTTAAACTGAATAAGTTTTCCTTCGCAAATAACTGCAAAAAAGAAAGTACAATGCACAGACAAGCCCTGCTTTATAGACACCTGCCTAATATGGACACCTCATTATTATGGACAGTTTACATTGTCATTGGCAAAAGAAGGTCCTTACATTTTAATTTCTCTAAATTCAAGCTGCTTAATACAGACACCCCGTTAATACTGCATTGTCTTTCTGTGGCCTTCTTAGTCCTTAGTGTCCGTATTAATGTGGTTTGACTGTATCGCTTGAGAAAACGATTAACGAATTTGATCTGGTGTGACCCCCTTAGAAGAGTTCTGATATAAGCACAGAAGATTATGCTTTTTACTCTTTCCTCTGTGTCTCATTCTCTGAGTTTGGAACTTGGTCAGAATCCAGTCGCAAAGGCTTGAGAAATTAACCCAAGGGTTAGTGCCAACAGCACCCTTATAACTAGTCATGACATTTTCACAAACTGTAATTGCTACAGTTTGTAGTTAAGTACATTGAAAACTTGTTCCTGGAGTGTTATATCCAGGGATCATATTTCTGTATTCCTCAGCATTAAAACAAAAAACAAGTTTCCTGCTCTCTTCCTGTCTTAAATTTTCACGGCAACAGAACATCAATGCTTAAAAGAAAGAAGAAACATTGACTAAAGAAGCAAAATGGTTATTTATCCTTTTATTCATATTGGTCATTGCTTCGCGTGTTCAAGTTCTCAGTGCCATTCACCATCCATGTCTAAAATCCATTCTATTCCACTACTTTTCGAGGGATCACTTGTGGTCAACAATGGGGATATTTGTGGGGGAGGATCATTAATTGCGGTCCATTTTGGGGATCATTAAGCAGTCAGGGATCATTTGTGGTACTGCACAATACTCAACTTGCAACAGACAGGTTTGGGCCCAGAACAGTGATTTTGGTGCTGGGCTTGCAGGTGGACTTAACCAGAGGTTTAGTTTTGTCTGTGGTACAGTGATACACTGAAAGCTCCTTTCCTTTACTCCACTCTACACTTATCTTTTCTCTCTCTGCATTGCTGGACCCAGCTCTGTTCTGTCTGCTGTGTTAGTTGCTTCAGTTGTCACTACAAACTTTTTTGTGCCTCTTTCACTCTGCCTGCTCTAGCCTGTCTACTTAATCTGCTTTGTAATTTTTTGCTTTTCCCTGCAGCACTTCTAAAGTCACTTATTGTACAAACTTACACTATATGGTGAAAATTGAATAAGGCATTGAAGATAAGAGTACTAGGAACAGCCAAATTCATTCAGATTGACCCATCAAACAGTTGACTTCTTAATTTTTCTGTTCTGTCCTGTTTTTATGTACTTCATCCTGCACAAGTCTTCTTTTCTCCACTCCTCTCTATTCTCTACTTACTTGCTATGGTCTGACATCCCTTAGCCTACAGACTGACTCTTCTCTGCTACAAGTGTGTGCTCTGCTTGCCTTCTTCTTCAACCCCCTTCACTGTGTCTCTTCTTCTCTTGTACTTACTCTACTTTGCTGTGCTGTCACCTACGCAGCTCTGCCATCACCTACTCTGCCGTACCCTCAACAACTTTGCTTCAGCCTCACCTATTTCTCTGTACTCTACTGTACCTTCACCTTCTTTGCTCTGCCTTCACCCACTCTACTCTGCTCCTACGCTACTTTCACCAACTCTCTCTGCTCTTCGCCTACATTACCCTACTCTTATTATTTTAGTACTCTTCTCTGCTCTAACCTGGTACTCTTCTGTATTCTCACCTACCCTACCCTGCTCTTACGTATTCTCTGTAATCATCTAACATGGCTTGGCTCACGCTACTGGTGTACACGAGCATAACACCGTGCCTTTTCCATGATTCCCGCTCAAGAAAAGGCATGGTTTTTGTGCCAAAGCACAGGAAAAAAAAAACATGCAAAGGCACAGATTAGGCACCCTTTAGGCACAGTTGAGGCATGTTTCAAAAGTTGCCAAGGTACATTTTAGGGACAGTTTATTCACGGTTTACCTGTATGCACAAAATTAATAATTAACATTGGGCACTTTATTGAAAATCTTTGTAACCCGACTTGGAAAAAAGAACAAACTTGGTATCAATTACAAAAATAATTCAGAGCAAACACAATACAGTAACTGTTAGAATTATAGCAAATGTAAGTTTTGAGCCGCGGCAAAAGTCAAGAAAATTTTATGTATTACTCCGAGGATAAACTGGAAATTCACATGTGATATGGTCTGAACCTTTTCGATTACCATGCAATTTAACAGAGCTTGATTTGTGAAAAGTCTCCCTAAAATAAAAGGGCGACCAAGTAAAAACTTTAACTTGGAGGGTTGCGATCGTGGTAAAATTGGCCTGAATTTGCATAATAATGTGAAAGGGGTAATTTGAAACCTTCATACCAACACATCTTGTTTTTTTAATGCAAAATTCAGCTTCTTGTAAATATTTCTCTAAAAAGGTACAATTTACACTTAGCAGCAAAATAATTCAAGCTGCTTGTTTGTTTTTGTTTTCTGGCTCTGTTAACAAATTAAGCTTTGATCATATAATTAAGAATGAGGCGTGCCAATTTTGCTTGAAATTTCATCGGTGTACGATCAATATATTTTTCCTTTTCATTTTGTCATATCATGAGTAAATTCTCTTTTTTAATGCAAGTCTGCCCTCCTGAGAAAACAAATATTCCATTCCAACTAAACACTCTGTTATAGAAGGGGAGGAGAAGCCCATTTGGAAATTTTTTAACATCAGTGGAATTCTTGAACCGATGAAGTGATATCAACATGTAATTGAGTTGAGCAGTGATTTTAAATACGCTAACCTGTTTAAGGCTCCAGTTTGCTGTTTGTCGGGGCTTTCCCTGCTGTCTTTAACCACATTCTGAGTCATGTTATTCTTATTAGTCAGTCCGTTTTCTAGACTTCTTAAACCTTAAAACTGACATAATTGCCACACGCACATTTCTACAGTTCAAGCTGGATAGGCTAGACACGGCGATTTTCTGAGTGACTCAATATTTTGGCGCAACTTGTGCACAGATTAGGTACAGTTTGGGCACAACTTAGGCACAAGTAAGGCACAGCCTAGGCACAATTTTCAAAACTAAAATGCACACTTTATGCACATCTTAGGCACATTTTAGGCACAAAATCTTTCTGCCAAAGCATGCTCTAGAGTCCGTTTTTCAGTCCAACACATGGTTTACAAATTTTCACGTTCAAAAATGCTTTCTAACCTTAGATATTTGATCTTAGCATAAAAATGGGTCTCCTGAAGTCTTAACAGTTAGTCTATAAGGAAGCTTTAACTTATAAGCATTCCAAAAATCATTTTATTTTCTCCTCTTAACAACAAAAGAAAGTCAATCAAAAGTAACCTTTTAAATTGACGTTCGGCTGCACAGAGATCAGATGTAGACAGAACATCTTTTTGAAAATGCCCTAAACTTTGTTGCTTTGTAATTATGTTCAGTGATTTTTAATACAGTTAGTTCTCATAAGTCACTCACTTCTGTGGAGAAATTTTTCCAACATACCATAAACAGAAACAGAGAAATCCCACAATATGCATTGTTAGACTGTAAATGTTACGCGTGCTGTTAAAAAAATAATGGTCCCATTTTAAGCCATATTTTTCATTTTTTAATTATATTTCAGTCTTACAGCCAGAAAAAAAATTCAATGGAAAGCTGTTCATAAACTGTAACTTCTTGCCAATATCGATGAGATCAGGGTTTTAATAAGTTCACAAGAGCCAAAGGATGTGAAATTTTTAGCCATCTACATGGATAGCATGCGCCAGGCCTTATGGCTCTAACCTATTCTACACTACTCTAACTTGCTCTACCCTGCTGTAGCCTAGTCTACACTCTGCAGTGTTCTAACTGTCTCTACATTGCTCTAACTTACCCTGCTCTAATTAATAAAACCTACTCTACTCTATTCTAATCTACTCTGCACTGCTCTAACCTACTCTTCTTCTCTATTTTTAACCTACGCTACACCGCACTCAACTTTTCTAAACTGAACTCACCTACTCTGCTTTAATCTAACTTACCATTCAATGCTCTAACCTACTCTACACCACTCCAATCTACTCTACACTGCTCTAACTTACTCTACACTGCTCTAACCTACTCTACATGGCTGCAACCTACTTCAAACTGTTCTAACTTACTCTACACTTCTTTACCTTACTCTACTCTATTCTAACCTACTCTTCACTGCTCCAACCTACTCCAAACTGCTCTACCCAACTCTACTCTGATCTAACATACTCTAAACTGCTCTAACCTACTTCAAACTGCTCTAACTTACTGTACACTACTCTGACTTACTGTACACTGCTCTAACCTACTCTACACTGCTTTAGCTTATGGTACACTAGTCTAACGTACTTTGATCTACACTGTTCAAATTATTTTACTGTACACTGCTCTAACCTACTCTACTCTAATCTAACCTCCTTTACTTTGCTCTGACCTACTCTACTCTGGTCTAACTTACTCTACATGGCTCTATCCTACTCTACTCTATTCTAACCTACTCTTCACTGCTCCAATGTACTCTTCTCTGATCTAACCTACTCTACACTGTTTAACTTACTCTACACTGCTCTAACGTACTCTTCACTGCTCCAACCTACTCTTCACTTCTCCGACCTACTCTACACTGCTCCAATCTACTTTTCTCTGATCTAACCTACTCTACTCTACTCTACTCTCCTCTATTTTGAGGAAAATAAGATATTACATAATTCCCAAATTGGCTTTTTGCCTGAAAACCTCACTGCAGACTATGTTTTCACTCTAAGGACCCTAATAGATAAATATGTCATTATCACAAGGAAAAAGTCTACGCTTGTTTGTAGATTTCCACAAAGCGTTTGACTCTGTTTGGCCCGAAGGATAAAAACGAATATTGGAGGAAACTTGTACAACCTCATGAAAAGTGTTATTGTAACTCAACATGTTCCATCAAAATCGGTGAAAACAAAACTCAGCCTTTTTCATACTCCAGAGGTGTACATCAAGGCCGTATTCTAAGCCCTCTTTTATTTAACCTCTATTTAAACAATCTGCCACATTTATTCGAAAACACCTTATCTTTACCCATTTGTTCTTCCAAATGGGAAAAAAAATAAATTCACTTTTGTACGCAGATAATTTAGTTATTCTATCAAGATCGAAAACTGGATTACAGAACTGTTTAAATGCGCTTTCCTTGTATTGTGACAAATGGAAGTTAAAAATTAATCCCAAGAAAACAAAAATTATGATATTCCAGAAACACCCAAAAAAGTCTATTGACATCAAATTCAACAAAGGCAGTCAGTCAATTGAAATTGTCCAAGAATACACTTATTTAGGTACATGTTTAACTCCAACGGGAAACTTTACCCTTGCACTTGAACCCTTAAAAGAAAAGGCCCTTCACACGTTTTCTAGTATTCGGAAGCGGACAATTCTTAACAAACTTAATCCTAATACTGCATCCCAAATTTTTGACAGAATGGTATTCCCAATCTTGAGTTACAACAGTGAGGTATGGGGAATGTACACCAAGCGAGATTTTAAAAAATGGGATAGCCCCCCAATAGAAAAAATTCACCTCAAATTTTGTAAACGTTACTTAGAAGTTAACAATAAGGCCTCTAACGTAGCTTGCAGAGCTGAACTTGATAGATTGCCGCTGCTTATCTCGACAAATCAGAAAATTATGAAATATTTTGTTTACCTCAACAACAAAGATAATGACTCTATAGTCAAACAGTCTTTCCTTATGTCAATGAATCCACATTCTATGAATAATTCCTGACAATTATTTCTCCAATTTCATAAACATATTTGTTATAATAATAATATTTATTATTTGTATTGCGCCTTTTCTATAAAATATTCAAAAGCGCATCACAATAATAATTAATAACTAAATTTTACAAATCTTTCTATCATAAATCTTAAAAATATTTACATTGAAATGAGTAAAAGATAATTCAGATATATAACAATTATTCACCGAAGTGGAGGTGGCTAGTCCTGGATATTTACCGAACTGCGAAGCAGTGAGGTAAATATCCTCGACTAGCCACCGACTCTGAGGTGAATAATAATTGTTTTAGCATATACTAAAACAGTGAGATAATTGAGTACAAAAACGACGATTTTTAACTCAAATACTGTTGCCAACGATTACAATTTTGGCGCGTAATGACCAGGCGGCGCGGCCGTCGCTTTTTCTTGCCAGCAACTAAAACTTTTGAAGGCATTTGTTTAGCTCTTGCGGGGAAATTTCTTCAAAGGAGTTGTGAATTCTTTTTGTATTTAAAATCATTCTATAAAAAAAGATTATCAAATTTAGTTTTAAGCTTATTTATGAACAACTCAACTAAATAAAGTAAGCAAGACTTAAGCTTCATTTGCATTTCTAAACAAAAAACTTTTTCACCGGTTTTATCGATAAATTCGTGTCAAAAAGACAAAGCTTTACCTGTTAAAACTTCCAATCCGAACTTCGTCACTTTCTTCGTGTATTTCGGAGACAGCTTGCTTGATTAGTTGTGAAATTTTTTTTGTTTGTTTACGGCAGCGAACCGGGAAGGCATTTTGCTCGCAACTTACGCGAGTTTGGCGTCGCTCGCTCGGAGGAATTGAAGGTGAATCAGTGAATAGTGCAGGATAGTCACCGATTGAGTAGCCAATCAGAGCGCGCGAACACTATCCACTGTTTTAGTATATACTAAAACTAATTATAACTCTGATGGGGCATGGATATTTGTGGTACCTAGCAACACGCATGCTCTGTGATATTGTGCGTCCGCATTGTTAAACCACATCTTTGCCAACACCCAAGTGTACCAGGGATCGCTGGGAAGAAACACCTGACAAAGGAAACAAATAAATAAGAAAAAAAAAGTAACAAACTAATAAACGTAACTGATTGCAAATATATATATATATATATATATATATATATATATATATATATATATATATATATATATATATATATATATATATATATATATATATATATATATATATATATTATTGAGTAGCCAATCAGAGCGTGCGAAAAACACTATCCACTGTTTTAGTATATACTAAATATAGATATAGATAAACTAAGATAACTGAAATGATTTCTTATATAAAAATGTCTTAATTAAAGTCTTAAAAGATTCTAAGTTCGTTGCTTCGCGCGCAGACCTTGGCAGCTTATTCCATAGGAAAGGAGTAGCTACCTGGAAAGCTCTGTCTCCCGTTGTTTTCTTGGTTTTCGCACTGGGTCTTTCCAACAAACGACCATTGTCATTGTGCCTCAAATTGTAGGACAAAGGCTGTTGAATACTAATAAAATCTGAAAGGTACTTAGGTGATAGGCCATGCAAAATTTTAAAAGTTATCAAGAGTATCTTATAATGAATCCTGGAGCACACTGGTAACCAATGTAATTCTGCGAGTAGAGACCAGAACTTGTGCGCGCGATATATAAGTCTTGCACTCGCATTCATAACACATTGCAATTTCCTAGTCTGATATTCCGGGATTCCATATAAAACAATCGAATTGAACAAAACAATCTAACCAGTTTAGATGCTGAATCTCTAGATAATGATAAAATTAGACGATATACCACAGAAATGAGAGAGAAATATCTATCTTTTTGGTGGCACAGCCTTGAAAATTCAAAAACACTAGAATTTTATAAAACTTTTAAATATGAGTATTCTACATCCGATTATCTCTACCGGCTAAGACATTATGATGAAAGACAGAATTTTGTTAAATTAAAAATAAGTTATCACAAACTTATAATTGAACATGGTCGATACCAAATAGATCATTGCCAAGAGAAAATAGATTATGTCCCTTATGTAACTCAAATCAGGTAGAATATGAGATTCATTTCTTCTTTCAATGTAATAATTACTCAGTACAGAGACAGGCATTTATTAATCAAATCAATCGAATAATACCAGACTTTGACAAGAAATCATTTCCAGAAAGCATAAAACTGATAATGAATTCAAAGGAACATAATGTAAATAAGTTAGTTATGAAGTTTCTTTCCTCCTGAATGAAAATATGTGATTCATTGTTAGTAATGTAACTGAATTTTTCCAGATTATTATTAGTGCTGTTTTTTTTTATATTTTGGTTGTCATATGCACGCTTTTGCAATACTGTACAATGATGCGGTCATGCAAATAAAGCAATTTATTACTATTACTCTGATCTAACCTACTCTACACTGCGCTAACCTACGCTACTCTGGTCTAACCTACTCCAAACTGCTCTACCCTACTCTACTCTGATCTAACCTACGCTACACTGCTGTAAGGTATTCTACACTTGTCTTCAGGTGGCTCAATGGGCCGGGTTTTTCAGGGTCAATATCTCTCAAGTTTGAGCATACACTTTGTCGCTATTAATACAATTAGGATTTGGGAAAATTACCACCCCAGCATTATTAGATAAAGATGAAAAATTGTTATGATCAGGGTTACAATGACATTGGAGTTGTCATAGTGACAAAATGATGCCATTAGCTATTTTACTTGCAGCCATATTTCTTGACACTGGGAATTCTTAATTCTTCCAAATATCGTTGACAAGAGCTTTTTCCTCCAAAAGCCACCAGAGAAGAGCTTTTTTAGAGCTTGTTAGTTAAGTTAAATCAAAATCTACAAGAGCGTTATCAAGATGTTTTGGCATAAGTTTTTATGGTTAGAAATACAGTAAAAACTGGACAATCTTCATGTTCGGCTGTTATCTGTAGAAATCAAAGTGCTTTTGAAATGCAGTTTCACTTCATAGTAGTTGCAATCTTTTAAGAGAGAAGGCTTTGATTAGTACATGTATGTATCATGGGGTTCTTGTTGGCAGTTTTGTAAACATTTTGGTCTACTTAAACAATAAGCAAATATTTGAAAACTGTTCAATAGATTTTTTGTAAAAAAATGGAGATTCTTGAGATTAACAGCAGTAACAATGCATTTGAAAATAATATGGAGAAATGTTAGATATTTTTCTGCATGAAAAATTAATCAATATTGAAACTTGGAGACAATACCCCTAAATAATGATAGGCTCTCACTAGTGAACATGAAATTTCTGAAAAAAATTAGCAAATTGTAGTGCTTATTTTACTGCCTTACAAGGTATCAACAATATTACAGTTGACTCCCGATAACTCGAACCTTCAAGGGAAACTGAAAAAAGTTCCAGTTATTGGGAGTTGATTTATCGGGAGCTCAAAGAAAATAGCCGGGAGTAAGGAAAAGAACAGTTCTTACTGCACAGTGAACATTTCAATCACATTTAATTGTAGAAATGTTTAGTGAAACTTAAAAGATACTTTTAGATCATAAATCAGAAGGTATCATTTACAACAAAACATCGCAGGGCTGTGCTCTAGCAGAGCCCGGTGGCCCCTGGTGCCTGACTTTTGCCCTCGGGCGACAAGAAAATCTCAGATTTTTCATACAAATCATATGCTGGGCACCCTAGATTTTACAGTTTCAGAGCACTGGGCTCCCTTCAATTTTCCTTAGAGCACAGCCTTGCATTGCCTAAACAGAATATGTGTTTTACTGTTTTGAAAAGTAAAGCTGTTTCATGTTAGATTTGTGACAATCAACACCAGCCTCGACAAGTAAACTATACTCCTATGGCGTGTTAATTGGAAATTCAATATTCAATGTTTCAGACGCCAGTGGACTGTTTTTTTCCTGACTTTTTAAAGGCTCAAAACATAGTTTGAGTTATTGAGGGTAAAATTTTATAGAAGGGATCTGAGTGGAAACAAAAACTACTTAGTGTTAGCAAGAGGTTCAAGTTATCGAGGGTTTGAATTACCGAGGGTAAAATTACAGTAAATGTATGATGGAAATCCACAGGAGAAATCAATTTTGGTTCAAGTTAGCGTGAGGTTCGAGTTAGCAACGGTTCGCGTTATCAGGAGTCAACTGTAAAACTCAAAGGTTAATCTCAAGAATCTCAAATCTATCGAGTGGTTTTCAAATTATTCACTTATATGTTTACAACCAACAAAATGTTTACAAAACCGCTAACAAGAGGGCATCTTCAATACATATGTACTAATCAAATCCTTCTTTCTAGCAATCGGCTAAAGCTACTGTATCTCCATGATTTTTCACACACATGTTTAAGGACTGAAACTACTATGAGGTGAAATTGCATATCAAAAGGGCTTCGTTTTGTACAGATAATGGCTGAACATCAAGATTGTCCAGTTTTTACTTTATTTCTAACCTGAAAAACCTCATCCCAAAACATCTCAATAACGCTCCTGTAGATTTCGATTTAACTTAACTAACAAACTCTAAAACAGCTGTTGGAACAATTTTGGAAAAAGAGCTCCCAGTGCCATGAAATACGGCTGCAAGTACAATAGGTAATGGCGTCATTTTGTTGCTATGACAACTCCAATGTCATTGTAACCCTGATCATAACAAATTTTCATCTTTATCTAAACAGCTGTGGTGGTAATTTTTTCAAATCCTTGTTAATGGTTACATGGTTAATACTCAAACTTGGGAGATATTGACCCAGGAAAACCTCATAGAGCCACCTTAATCTACTCTACACAGTTGTAACCCACTCTGCTCCAGTCTAACAATTCATACTCTGCCCTCATCTTACCTACCCTACACAGCTCTAACCTACCCTTCTGTAACCCGTTATACATGTAGTCTGCTCTGTCCCTCCTACTTTTTGTTGTCCTTAACCCTTAAAGCCCCAATATCCACATACAAATTCTCCATTCACATCTCCATACATTTCCTTAAAGAATTGGTTAAGAGAATTTGTTTGTAGAGCAAAGCTTTTCACATCAGGTGATCATTTTATTAATTCTCACAACATTTTCTCTTGATTATACAGAGGAAATTACATGGCCGAGTGGAGACACGAAATTTCTCTTCGAGTTTTGAAACATTTTTCTTGAGTGGGTGCAGCGAACGAGTGAAATATTTTTTCAACACGAGAAAAGACATTTCATATCTCCAAGCGGCCATGTAATGTTCTATTTATTATATGAACACCAATGAACTACCAAACCGTTTCACTTTAATAGTTTTTTGGTGTGAAAGGCACGATTTATTATGTAGCCATAGCAATGGTGATATTTTCACATGTGAAGATAACATTGTTATTTTCACATGTGAAGATATGAAGTTTTGGCGCGAAAGCTCACCTGGTATTTCATTGGTGTTTTTCTAATAAATAGTGATATTGTTAGGAGAATATTGACTTTGGTCACTCTTGGGTCTTAAGGGTTAAACACCCTTCTATGTCCTCCTCTTCTCTGCTGCTATTTTTCTTTCCCTTCATTGTCATTAGACTGTCAGCTAAAAAATAATTAATATTAAAATTGATAAGCACTGCTGTGCTGTTTTGAGTTAATTAAAACAAGCATCAGCTGCACTTAATTTTGTCTCAAACATAAAGCTGTATCTTGAACAAAGTTAGAAGTTTTTACAAGTGTTATTCTTTAAAAAGTTTGGTTAGCTCAAATTAATTTTTATCTATTATTTTCTGTTAGTGATGGACTACTGGCACATTGTAAATACATAATAATTATTTGGGAGCCTGGATGAAGAGGGATAAGATTACAACCTGAACAACAAGATGCAACCAGAAAACAAGGCAGCAAGAAAAGCAGCTCTGAAGACAAGGTAAACAACTCTCCTAACTTACTTACAGTAATTTATTGTACACGCATGCAATGTGTGACTTAGTCCCTTAAAGGCATTAATGTTACCTTTTTATTATTGCTTAGTTTTCTCGTCCTTTTAAAATCTCAAAATTTCTTTGTTGTTCAGTTTGTTTCTACAGTGTAAGTTTGTTTTCTTAAGGTTATTGTTTTGGAACCTTTTTGGGTGGTGTGTTTTAGTGGAGGGTGCAATTTGCAGGTTACAGGTTGCAGATCAGAGTTTGTTATTTGACGAAAGGTCAGTCTGGAGGTGTCATGCTTAAATATACTTCCAATAAGGAAAAAAAAAAGCCGCATACCTCGAGAGTGCAACCCCAGACATTGACAGGCTGGTGATGTTATTCGTCACGATAATTATCTGTAACAACGTGTGACACTATGGCAATCGGTTTATGGAAATGATTCTTACGAAAGAGGAAGTGGGTGAATGTAGCATTTACAGACTATGAAAACAAAGTACCTTGAAAGAGCATAGAAAAATGCTTGGAAAAAGGAAGTCCCAGTGATCATCAAAAAAAAAAAAAAAATTCAGACGCCGGCAGTTTAGATCGAAGGAACACCAAAAGAAGGTGGTGGGAACCCTATCTTTTTACTGGGATCACAAAAATCCAGTTGCAGGATGAAAATTGTTCAGAAAACTTTTCTCTTTGTTTTTGCTGTTTTACACTTAAAAGCTGTTGAAATTCTCCGCACTCAACTCTTATACACTGTATATTATGGCTTAGATTCGAATGAGAAATAAATTAACACAGCCTCCACTGCTCAGTATCCGATCTTAAACTGAGTTATAACTTTGGCTTCGTCCATACGAAACCTTGTTTCTTTTATCTAAAATAATTTGACTCTTTTTGAAATTCTGACCTGCAACCTGCAATCTGTAAATTACACCCTCCGTATTTTTAGTCTGCACTGAGTTGGTCACTTGGATAGTTAAATGGTTAGTCAGTCAGTTTTAAATTCGTCCTTAAGCTTGAGAATTTAAATTGTGGTAATGTAAACAGCATTTAATTTCTTTGCCAGATAAACTTTTTTTCAAAAAATCAATTAATTAGAGGGAAAGGTACTGTCTTTTACAAATCAATTGCAAGTAGGTAACTTATAAATCAGATGGTGATTGAAGGTAAATCTTTTAGCCACACTGTAGGTAGTTATTTAGCATGGTTTAACTTGGTAGCCCAGGTCAGTGTGACAGATAAAATTACATTAAGTTTGCTGTGGCTTACTATGTCATCTCCAACAATGTTCGGATTATTATTATTTAACTGCATTACACCTCTTCACCTTATTCTTAGCTGCGGGCAACATAAGTTGCAATGAAGCTAGCTGTTCTTGCAGCGAGTTGTTACAAATTGGAAAGTCAAATCAGATCAAATCAAATCACTGGTTTATCGTCCCTTTTGCAGTCAGAAGACTGAATTGTAGGGTACCTTACAAGCTGTGATATACATACTAATATGCTACATTTATTGACAAGATTGATATTTAACACTAACAAAATTTGAGAAACGTTCAGTCCTTGTGGCCATGGGCCTGCTAGAATCCCTTGATCTTAGACACACACTGGTAGATATAGGTACCACTCTTTTGTGTATTAAAGGGTACAACGGGTTACCTGGCCGAACCTTACCTATAAATTTAATACACAAGACTGCCCGACGGTCAGAAATAGTGGATAATGCAGCTTTGTCACGTGCTGTTTCATACGAAATACCAGGCCAAATGGTGAAAGGGCCCTTTTTTGCACGTTCTCAAGATAGCAAGCAAGATACTTAAACAAGCCAGGGAAGACAGTGGAGGCCGACTTTAGTATAGAGCGCATTAGCACGCAGTAGATATGAACAATATCAGTTGACGGAACTTTGCACTTCTTGAGTTGTCTCGGTACATAAAGCCATCTGTTGGCCTTCTTCACTAAAGTAGAAGACAAAATCAATGGTTCCTGTAATGATGCTTTATAATCTTTATTGATATAGATATTAATGATTATGGATTGGTCACAACTTTTTTTCTCTATCAATTTTTATCAATTTTTTTAATTTGTAGATAGTTATAGAGTGTTAGCCATTATTGACTTTTTTGATTTCACTCATAAGGAAGTGAAATGTTGAGCAACAGGATACTCAGGGGTGTTGTTTTATAGCCTTATATCAACTGTTCTGCCACTGAAAATTAATGACGGTTAGCCAGTCTAACAGGCAGTCAATCAATTAATTGATCATTGAATAAATCATTCAGTCTATCATTGACATACAAGGATTTGGCCTCCATAGTGGTATTGAGAAACTGTTGTTTCAGGCACTAGACGTTAAATTCTTAAGAACTATTTTGCTCCTCATTAACTGAATTGATAATTAAGCCCAATCTGTGAATGTACAGTCTGTCATTCTGTCAATCCAATGGTTATTCTGTCGGTTAATCAGTCAGTTAATCAATCAATCAATCAGTCAGTCAGCCAGTCAATGTAACTATCAGTAGGTATACAGGTGAATCAAACAGCCACCCAGTCAGCCAGTCAGTGAGTCAGTCAGTGAGTCAGTCAGTGATTCAGTCAGTCAGTCAGTCAGTCATTCAATCAATCAATCAATCAATCGATCGATCAATCAGTCAATCAATTAAACATTATTAGTCATTCAGCCAAGGAAACGGTCAATTGGTCAATTAGTCAAACAGTCAGTTACTCAATCAATGAAAGAGTCATTCAGTTAGTTTGTCACCAGTCAATATTTCAAACTAGTTAGTCAGTGAGACAAACAGTCAATCAGCCAATCCAACAGGTATTCTGTCAGTTTTTTAATCAATCATGCAGTCAATTGAACAGTCAACCAACTAACCAATCTAACAGTCAGCTAATGAAACTTCCACTGTCATTCAATCAGTCAAACATTAGTCAGTCAGTCAATAAAACCTCTCAGTTGGTCAATAGACAATCAAACAGTCAGTCAGTCAATCAATCAGTTGGTCAGTCAGTCAATTAGTCAGTCTGCCTGTAGTCAGTCAGTCAGTCAGTTAGTCAGTCAATCAGTCAGTCAGTAAGTCAGTCAGTCAGTCACTCTGTCAGTCAGACAGTTGGTTAGTCAGTCAGTCAGTCAGCTAGACAGTCAGTCAGTGGATCAATCAATTTAATCAACAGTCAAACAGTTTTCTGTTTAATCATTTGTATAATTAGTTGATAATTTATAGCTAGCTGACTGGTGGCTTGAATAGGGCAGTTCGTAGGAAAGTGGGCTGTGTTTGGTTTATAAATTTAATCACATGGTTGAGCTTTCATGAGTTAGGTGTTTAAACATGGTAACACACACACAAAAAGAAGTTTGTTGAATGTGAATAGCTTTTGATTTGGAGGCGGGGGGGGGGGGGGGGGTTGGACCAAGTTTAGATTTGAATAGGCACGGGGTGAATAAAAGAACAGGGGAAATAATGTTTTATAAGCTTCAAAAAATTATGTGTATCAGTGAGGCTGCGCAGTCTTTTTTTTTTTGTTGCGTTTCCGTATATGTGGTTGTGTGTGTATGTTAGTGGAGTTGTAGTTTTTGTTTTTTTTATTAATATTAGTTTATAGTGTTGTTTGGTTGTATAAGATTATTTATAAAGAACAGAAAAACAAAAAAAAAGAAGGGTGGTTGGGGAGGTGGGAGTGGGTTGGGGGGGGGGGGGGGGGGGGGGGGGGGGGGGGGGTTAGACTACGTGTAGATTTGAATAAGCACAGTGCTAATACAAGACAGCGGGAAATAATTCATTATAAGCATTACACTATTCAGCTTCTCTATGAGTACCTGGGGATGTTGTTTTCGTTGTGCATTTTCCATCAAATAGTCAGTTTTTCAATGAAATTGTAACTCATCAAGATGTTGATGGTGAAAACAATAAAATAACATTTTTAATTAAATGCAAGAGCTGTAATAAGCAAACCAAAAGCTCTGAGTTTGCAGCAGTGACACTTTTTGGCAGATTTCTCTGCATTCATCACAACACTCACCTAACATCAAACATGATTGGAATGGCAATGCAGTCATTGCTTTGATCTTTAAAAGATTGTTGTTGCATCAATGGCGATAGTCACGACTGATTTTGTGGGAATTACCAATAGACAGCAGTCTCCACTCTTAGGGCGATGGAAGAGATGTTTGCCTGTCACATTTAATTAGTAGATTAGCCTACTCCCACTAACTTTTCTTTACCTATGACTTAACATTACATCTTTTGTTAGAAGCAGTTACCCTGTATTATAAAAATAATGTAAAATGAATTTTTTTTTCTTCTCCAATAGAGTGGTACATCAATCAGCTGGCTGGAGGACATCATCTGTGCTTGGTCATCATCTTCACCCTTCGACCACTGGAGTGGACGATCGAGACATCCATGGGGATTTCTTTCCAGACACTATGATTTTATATCAGGTTGATGGTATCAAGGATAATTGTGCTTGGTACAAGACACTAGGAGAATAATGGAGAGGATGGAGTGAGGGCAAGCAGGACAACTGGCTGGACTTCATAATTATGATTTCCCCCTGCTGCAAGAGGTGGGTTGTGGATGGTGGAGAGGCTTGCATTGTCTGGTTTGTATTGCATCATATTTTTATCTTAGTTTAATTAGTGTCTGAATCTTAAAATAATTATAGTATTAATATTGGTTTTTTCTACTCTAAATCTTGATGATAAATTCAATGATATAAATTTCCGACCCAGCCCGGGAGGTCTGAATGAGGGGTACAGCTGGCCCGGGGTTTTCCTCCTAGGAGCAAGTGGACGTACGGGGAGGTTTTTCACCCAGCTGTTGTTCCACAACCCCCATTCACTCAACATTTTCTAGCAAGTACACAAGACTAAGCAATTTAAATGAGTTCTCCAAAATAATTACTCCAAAAAAATTATTGTTATATGACTGAAAAAGAAAAACCATTATCTAAGTTTAGGGGTTTCAATGTCTCTCTAAGAGCTCTTACAAAATCTTTAGGGTGTCTTTCACAGCTTTTTGGCAGGTTCTAAAAGGTCTAGAGATCTGTGTAGGTCTTTTAAAGGTTTTCTGGGAAACAGTGAAAATCTTCAAAAATTAAATAATTTTCCACATAAGAATTTTATTAAGGGTGCCTAGAAAGTAGACTGAGATATCCAGAAATTAAATATTATTGTTTTGGCTTTGTTCAAGGAAAATTTTAGGGGCCTTCATTGAGGGTAGGCGAAATCTTAAAAAAATCTTTAGTTAAGTACATCTAGACACTTTTTCAGTCATGTGACAAATTGAAAGTAATTCACTGATTGCCTTAGAGTAATAATAAATATATTAATTCCAGTGTGTGTGCCACCATTGTACAAACAGAAGTCTTTGGAGAAAAATCAATTAGGGCCAAGGGGGCTAGCTATTTCAATGGGTGGATCTCCACAATATAAAATTATATGATGGAATGAAGGTTCGGTTGGAAATTGGCAAACTATTCCAAGCCACTTGTTTGTACAACCACTGAATATTTAAGATTTTAAATCTTTTATTACAAGATTCCACTGAGCAGTGGGTTTTTTTATAACACATGAACACAATCTACTATTAGCTTGCTACAAAAGTGATCATCATTATGACCTTGATCATTACAGGGTAATTATTTGGTAAGATCAGCTTCCAAGAAATCTCATAAATTTTCCATTAGCCAATGAATTGCTGAAATTACTGATATTGGTAGGCCATATTAGAATGGTATGAAACAAACTACAAGTAACAATTGGTGAAATTTTCATATCAGTTTTTTGAAGGCACAGAGGAAACATTGTAGCCTTGATTAGAGCCTTTTGATAGTTTTCTCTTTTTTCTATGTGACTGACGAGTTCAGTTGCTAAAGGTTACAAAATTAACTGCCATTTGGTGCTAGGGTCAGCCTAGGAGACAACTTAGCACTCCGATCATATCACAATTTAAAAACGTGCTGAAAATGTTAGATGTGAAGTTCCAGTCACAAGTAGGAAAAGAAATAAGGAACAGAATTGTGGGGCAATTCCCGATAGGGGTAAATAATCCACCTTTAGCTAATTATTAGCACTCGGAAGCACAAAAAATTGGCCATCAAATTATTTTTACCAGTGAATCAAAGTGATAGGTTCGTGGGGCCACTTGCAGGGTTCCTGTCCTCAGGTTGCTATGGTTACCTCCTTGACACTTCCTTGTCAGCCAAAGGCCCTCTATCCCCTGTTTCCTGGGTATGAGTTTAATAAATAGTAAGTTGATGGCTGCCAAAAGCACCAATAACTTATACTTAAGTTATTCCCTTGAAAAATTCCAGTAAGAGAGGGTTGTAGCTCTTAAATAACCCATATAGGTATTTACAGGTACACCAAAGGGCATGGTTTTTTTTTAATCCCTTTTGTGGGTCTGAAATATAGCGGAATTTTGTGCCAAAGGGTATGTTTCTTTCACACATTGAGGTTACCACATTTTTCAGTGAAAAGTTTGTTTGTTTTTTCATAGAAGAGTTAGAACTGAACCTTTTCATCAGCAAATTTAAGGGTTTTTTGCGTATCAGTCAGCCCGAGAAAAAAGCAAATATTTTGCGACACCGCCACTGATTTCCCTGCGAAATGACACGTGAGGAACCAGCACAGAAATTCCATACCGATGACGTGTCACTAGCCATTGACGCAGATTTTTAACCAATCAGAGTTAAGCACTACCAAGATGAGGATTTTGATGCATCATCGGTATAGGATTTCTGCACTGGTTTCTCAGAGTCATTTTGTGGAGAACCAGTAGTTGTGTTGTAAAATGTTGGATGTTTTCCCAGGAGACACCCCAGTCTGCATCGATTTGAATTAAATTAGAACATTTTTATTGAAATAAGTTGTTGCTGAAAAGTGGTAACCTGGTGTTTTTTAATTGCTCATTGGAATCTTGTTTAATATAACTCAGGTCATAACTAGGTGGGAAAAAATTTATATTTTTTATTAGAAAAATAATGTTACTGATAGATGAATATTATTATATATGGAAATGAACACTTTGCTGCCAACATTTTACAGAGGGACAGAGAACCAGTATTGTCTGTCTTGCTTAAGGATCTACTTTCTTTTTGCTTTAGAGAAGTAACGTGGCTAAAATTAATTTCAGTTTTTTTTTCACATTTATAGGCAGCTTGATGTTGAGTAGCACAGTGTTGTTCCTGCTTTACATAATTAAGCAAAGGAGGCAGTTAAAAACTGGAATGCAACAAAATTTCACCAAAATCTTTTTCAGGCAGAAATCAATTTCAAAATCTAGCACTGAAAAAGCAAATAAGCAAATTAATAGTTGCAGTTCTTATTTATTATTTTTAGATTCGAGCCTGGGATGGTAGGGAGAATTTAGGAAATCATATTTAAATTTTGAAATTTTGTTTCTTCAAAATGGTAACAATTGGGTGACAGCATGATTAGTAATAATGCTTCATCTGTCTGCTTCCTTTGCTTATATTGTTTTGTCAATTGGCCATTTCCATAATTGCACCATTTGATGGCAAACAACCAGAATTAAGTTTTTCTTTGTTTATGTTTTTTTTTATTTTAACATATCTGGGATTATTGAAAGATAAGGAAACTTAAGGGAGGAAATAGGAATTCTAGTATTAATGTCGTCAAACGAAGCTATTGTGAAAATGGTCCATTGCAATTTTACATTATTTTATTTACACAAACAGCAAACAGCAAGCTCATTAGCACACTTAAGACCTTTAATAAGCACCAGCTAGCATAATTAAGCCTTAACTGGTTTAAATTATTCAAAATTGGGGACTTACTAATTCTTCATGATTGACATTGATTCACCCCCCCTCCCCCCCTTCAAAAAGGTATTATATTATTCATTCCAGGAGAAATTGAAGACATTTAGGGGAGGGCTGTAAACAAAGTTTATAATGGGAGATGTGCATGAACAAATTTTTCCATCAACATTGTCTTCAGATGAAGACAGCTTTAAGATTTTAAGCTCATTTAAACCTCAAATTTATTTGTTTTGGCACCAGTGGGTTTTGCTCACTAAAATTCCAGCATCCAAAAGGGAATAGGTGTTGCCTTTGTTAACCTTTTCATAGTATTCAGGTTAGATTTATCTCAGACTTAATAATAATTATGGTGATCAATGGTCTGTTTGTTATTCCAAAAACATATTATTTCAGTGAAAATGTAGGGACAAATCTAATTAAGGCTGTTTTCAAGGCTTGCTTAGCTGTTCGGCAGTACAGTGGTTCTACGGCTAGAAAGACACGAGGAAATTTTAGTTTTCATTTAGCTTTCAACAAATACAAGTTTTCACAGACTATTGATTACCATCACATTCTGTAAATTCTCTTTAGGTTTAATGTGCATGTCTTTATTTCTTGGTGTTACAAAGCCCTTCCTTAAACAATTTAGGGATTTACAGCATAGCATTTTTTGACTTTTTTTTTCTCTCCATAGGATCTGGTTAGGTTGGCATGTTACAGGAAGTGACATGCCTTTATAACTAGCAGCATAAGTTAGAATCATCACTAAGTCTTTAGTTTGTTTTCCTTCTGGGACTTGTTTTGTAACACCAGGAAACACAGGGCTATTATGTTTTGTTAGGTGCTAATGGGCTTGCAATTACTTCTTAAGATTTTAGGTTCTTATTTAATTTCAGATCTAAGGTGGCACACTCACATGGAAGATTAGGAGCCCATCACTTGGGCAAGGTCATGTTTAAATCTAGCCAACCTCGTCCCTGCTGGGCTGTGGAAGCTCTGCCTCTGAGAAGGTGTGAATTCTGATGTCCTCTGAGATATTCCAACTGAGAAATCCTGGGAAACTTTATCTGATCCTGTCATTCATGCTGAGGGCAGTTGGACACTTGGAAGATTTGGCCGTTTGTTCCCAAGTGGGGAGGA